GTCATCTACGAAGGTGACTCCGTTACCGGGAACTTCGTTGTCATCATTGTCGATCACAACATTTTCTGGAGCTCTGAACACCCTGGCATCGACTTCTTTTTAATCACTCTCTTCATTGTTTGTTTTTTTCTACATTTTAAATTGATACTAGGATAAGAAAAACCCATAGCATCAAAAATATCTTCTTTACATTGATTTTGTGGACGAAGGGTATTTTCATCTTTTCGTATGCAAAAGCAAGGTTAGTATGGTCATTTTGTATGAGCTACTAACGTTGTTTGTGCAAATTTGACGGAATAAGAGAATCTTGATATTTTCAGATAAAATAAAGGAGGTTACTGTAATTATTGAAACCATAAGGGAGGTTTTTGTATTTATCAGAAATCTCAAGTGAGGTAAATGTAATTTACCTGTCAAAAAATTATTATTAAAAATCAATTACTCTATTTACTTTTGTGGAAACCCTATGGTAACCCTATGGTTTGTGCGCACCCCCCTTGGATGCATACCATATGTGTCTTACTTTAAATTAGTGTAATTTTACTATAAAATTTTGTAATATCAATCATAAAATGTTTAACTTTATCACAAATTAATATAATAAAAAATGTCGTAACCAAATTACAAACTTTCATTACATGAAATATAAAATTTTAGATATTTTATTACATTAATTTGTAACAATATTACATATTTTATATTTGATATTATAAAATTTTATAATAAATTTATGCCAATTTATAATAAAATACATATAATATGCACCCTAAAAAGCGCGCACAGGCGTTCAAAAAATGAAAAAACCACTGAAAAAAGGTCAATTTCCTAACCAGTCCGTAGGCTCCAATATTACATGGACCTCCAAACGATCAAAACTTCTTAGTCATAGGGGGATTCTATTTACATTAAAAAAAAATAAAAAAAAAATAAATATTAAGTACTCTTAATTTTTAAATACATCCTATTTAATTATTGAAAATTTTTATTTTATTCTCATTACACCATATTATTTTTCCCAAATTACTCTCGAGGTAAACCCAAATAATAAATAATAAACAAACTAAAAAACTAAATTATTTCAAAAAAAATTTAATATAAAAAAAATAATAAAAAAAAACCAAACTTATAAGCACATAAGCATTATAAATATAGAAAAAATCAAACTTTTACATAAGCATTATAAAACTTTTCAATACAGAAGAAAAAAAAAAACTTTTACATTATAAATTATCTACAAGAATGCTCATAGAAAAGTCAAAAACCAAACTTATAAGCACATAAACATCATACACTAACAAGAAAGAGTAGTTCTCAAATAATGTACTATTTAAATGATAAAATAAAAACAACTATAATAATATGTTATTGTTAATCTAACTACTGTGCCCTTTAATTTTTATTAAAAAAAATGATATAGAAAATAATTGATGGTACTTTACAAAAATTGTGAAACCCTTTTATATGAATACTTACCTCATTTTTGATGGGTTGTTTCAAAAAACTATTTTGATTATTATTCTCATCTATTATTTGATTTTGTTTAAACCTTCTTCTAAGGTTTAGGGTTTCAAAATAATTAAAAACAATGATGTTGATGATGATGGTGAGTTTTGGCAGGGTGGATTGGAGTTTTAGAGGGAGGATGAAGAAGAAGAAGAAGAAGACGAAGAAGAAGAAGAAGAAGAAATAACTTCAATCTCCTTGGAAAGAAGATATAGTATTTGAATAGGAATAACTAATTAGGATGTACCATGAGAAAAAATAATAATAATTTATTTTAAGACTTAATATGGGTTGTCCTTATTATTATATTCATTTTAGGATATAATCGGAATTAAAATTTATAAATTTAAATTTGGTGTACTGAAACATATTTTGAATTCAAATAGAATCCTCTTTAATCATACAACAGAAAAATGGGCCAAGGCCCTGAAGGCAAACTATAAAATGGGCCAAGACCCAAATGGAAAACTACAAAAGGGGCCAGAGCCCATCAAACTTTAATGGTTGATTTCAGTCTTTTTGTTTTTTGTTTTTTATTTTTATTATAAAAAAATCATGATTTCAAGCCGAATCAACCCAAACTACATTAGATTGGATTGGATTGGATTGGATTGGATTGGTTTTAATAAATAATTCATTTGGTTTTAAATCTAAAAATTTAGAATCTTTAATCATACAACAGAAAAATGGGCCAAGGCCCTGAAGGCAAACTATAAAATGGGCCAAGACCCAAATGGAAAACTACAAAAGGGGCCAGAGCCCATCAAACTTTAATGGTTGATTTCAGTCTTTTTGTTTTTTGTTTTTTATTTTTATTTTTATTTTTATTATAAAAAAATCATGATTTCAAGCCGAATCAACCCAAACTACATTAGATTGGATTGGATTGGATTGGTTTTAATATATAATTCATTTGGTTTTAAATCTTAAAATTTAGAATCAATCATAATTGGATTAATTTAAATTTCATGATAAAGCGAACCAACCCATGAAAACCTTATTAGACACACGACGACAAGGCAGTGTTTTTGGCTATAATTGTGTGTGGGCTCTCTAGTCTAAAATATAGAAACGAAAATGATAGCATTTTTGTAGAGAAAAATTTGATTAAAATAATGTGACGGTGACAGTTTTAGAATTGAAACCAATTTAATGGATTTTTGTTTTAAAGCAAAATATCAATTTTTGGTGTAATTTTTTATTTTTATTTTTACCATGTGATTTGTAACTATAATATTCATGTATTTGGTTTTACCACTCATTTATATTTTTATTATTGATAAAATAACATGATGAACAAAATATGATAAAATAATACAGTGATATTCTTTTCAGTTGACTCAGACTATAGTTCAAATGGTCATGGAGAGGGCACTTAGGTATTAGGGTGAGATTTTAGGTTCAATTTTATAGTAAGACATTGACATGCGTTATAACCTAATTAATAATATACTAACACTACCTTTGTCACAAAAAAAGAAAAAAAGAAAAAAAGAAAAAAGAAAAATTGATATTCCCCCTAGTTGGAAACTATAGGGTGTTGTTGGGCCTCCAAGAGTTCACCATGAAACCCACGTTGTTGATTTGAATTGTTTATTTTTTAAGTCATTCTGAACAAATAATTTATGCCAAAAAAATATAGTTGATTAGATTGCCACATGATTGGATTACAATTCTTTTTCAAAAACAAAAGGCATATGAATTTTTAAAATAAATTGTATATTATTTTGAAGATAAATTTATCTTATTAGATCATCTCCAATGGTGTAACTAAAAACATTTGTTAAAATGTATAACAAAAGTGAGACACATTTGTATGTGTTGAGTATTTGTTAGTTTAGTAATTGATGGTGTGTTCATATATATAGTTAGATGCAAAGTTATTAATTCCGTATAAGATAAAGTATCGTTTTTTCAATTGGTACAATACCTACCGATACTGGTATGGTTTTGAGTTCCATTTTGCATTTATTGCAAAAATATTATATATGTATTAAAAATATTATCTAGTAACAAAAAATTTAAACATACAACATTATGAAATACAAATATATACTATGTAAAAGAGATACTTCAAAAGAGAGTATGAAATACAAGTTTCTACTATTATTATTGTCTTACACTACCAATGAGTTTAACAAATCTATGAAAATATTATTATGTGGTTACAGTTATTCAATTAATTTAATTTTTATATTAATTATCTACTTAAAAAAATCAAAATATTGAACGAGTCTAAATAATCCTTCGTTTTCTTTTTCATTTTCAGTCGTCCTTTCCTTTTTTTTTTGGGGGGGGGTAGTTTACATCTTCTGAACATAATTTATAGAAGTTATACAATTAGAATTCATAATTCATAAAAAAATATTTTAACAATTAGTCCAAAATTCATAAAAAAATATTTTAAAAATTAGTCCAAAACGACCGGCTATAAAGATTCGGCTTGGAACAATGCTTCAACTCCGAAGCAGCTTGCAAATTTCATAGACTATATATTATAGATAAATTCATATTTTTAGATAAAACATTTGAACTTTATGTTTATTTTATAAAATAATAACACATAAAACACTTAAAGCTAATACATCATTTATATGCAAGTAATTATACATTTCTATTTATTGTAAATAGTTAATGAGTTATTTAGACCTCTCGAGCCCATTTCTTGTTGGTTATGCTAATTGTAGCATATTTATTTTATCGCATTTATCTTAAAAAAATGAATGGTCAATTTTAAAAACAAACGTGATTGAGACCCTCACACTGCTCACACCCCCACCACCCGCACACACACGTGGGGATTGGTCATTGGAAAAAAATATATATAAATCTCAGCCAATTAGACCCCACTGGGGTCCTGGGGGTCACCCCCAGTGAGGGTCTAAAACATTTTGGATAATTTAATTTCAAGTCCAACATTGAGTAAGCTTAGGCTACTACACCTTCTGTTATTATGAAGACAGGCCTGAATAAAACCCGATCCAACCCAGTCATGTCCACCACTAACTATCAGAGTTTTGCAAAGAGTATTAGTCTAAATTTGAGGGAATAAACCTAGCAATACAAAAAAACTAATTACAAAATTAGACATAATTGTCTGATATTAGATGAGCCCTACATTAGTAAAAATGTTATGTCAAATTTTATGATTAATTTACATACAAATATAAAAATTAAAAATTCATAGAGGTAGAAGACTTTTATCTACTCATCGTGAACATGCAGATTTATATCATCAAATGAGCATGTTAGTGAAATTTCAGACTAATACATGTTAGTAATTGGAAGCTCTTTAGGGGTTGTTTGGGACGTCCTAAATAAGTGTATTTTTTATCTTTTTGAACTAAAAAATTGAGGAAAAAAAATATGATTGTTTTGGTTAACTTTTCTTTTTAACTTTTTATGACAAAATGTATATTAAAAAATTATATAAATTAGTGTATAGGAAAAAATTAAGATTAGAAGGTGTGCAGCCGTAATTTTTGAATAATAATAACTTTTTAACTTTTTGAGTAATTTTTTTTTAATTTGCCAAACTTGGCCTAGAATTACATTGCTGGTATTTCACAATGTCACGCAAAAATTAGGAACCAAAATGATGAGCCTACTCACAACTCGGCTCTAAACTCTTGGGTTGTAATTAGATGTCAAGCCAACAACCGGATTGAACATGGCCAGTGTACTCCTCCGGCATTTCTATTTTTGCCCACGTGTAATCCTTCAAATTTAACACGTAAGCTTTGTGGGCCTCACCAAATCTCGGGGATCCAATCACCAACATCTTATCTTGCCACGTTGTCATGTATGTTGTACTACTTCGCACCTCAGCAGGCAACTCAGCTACTGCTTGCCATGTGGAACTCTTACGTGCCACCACATCATTAGACCGACACATGTACAATTTCCCATCCCCACCGTCCACGCAAGTGCTTGGACACGTGGAAGTTTCCAAGAAGTCATTTTGCATTTCATGATCCCACTGCCAGGTGGCAACATCGAATGCTTCAGCACTTGTACTGAATTGACCTTGCATCTCTGTGTTGTACCCACCGATGACATGGAACTTGCCAGCATAAAATACTCCGTTACACTCGTCACGATCCATTGCCATGTCAGCCAGTTGGATCCACTCATCTTTTGTCACGTCATACACCAGCGTGGATCTCAATGCATTCTTCTCGTTGTCATGTCCACCTGCAACGAACACCGTCCGATCAAAATCAGACGCACAAGCAAAGAACGACCTCGGCCCACCTGGCATATCGGCCCCACGCCTCCACGTGGCAGACACAAAATCATAAACAAACACCGCGTTCGAAACCTGCCACGTAACCGGGTTCCACCCACCCATCACCACAAGATTCAACCCGACACCCGCAAGCTGACAAAACATGGGCAACCCTTCTGAATATCCGGGCACGGGGGGGAGCTCACTCCACTTACCCGTTTCCGGCTCACAGATCGTGAGCCGGTAAACCGGATTAATTGAAAACTTGCGAGAAGTACCTTTTGGTCCGGTGATTATATGGGTCGGGTTAACCCGTGCTTGGAGCATGACGACGACTCGCTGGCTGAGTCCGGCGAGTTTTCGATGAATCCAAAACTCCGGCAGCTGAATCTCCGACTTCCATCTCCGACAGACCGATGAAACAGAGGAGAAGTGTTCATGGGGGGTCCGAATAAGACATTCAAGACCCAGATCGTCTGGAAGACCCGGAATGAGCTCCATGGTAGAATCGCTCACTTTTGTGTGGCTATGACCTCAAAGTCACAGAATCACAGAAAACAGAAAACAAGGGACTTTGCGTTTGCTTTTTTGCGTTGGTTTTGAGAAATGGGCGTGTTAGCATTTTATAGAAATGGCCTCGTGAATGGTGATGTAAGATTTGTTTGGATTGTGGGGAAAATTATTCACTTGGGTTGTTTTTGGTTTTCCCAAAATATTTTTTTAAAAATTCCATTTTGTTGTTTTTTATTTTTTTTTATTTTTAGGGCAAATTACATATACCTCTCGAGGTTTAGAAATATTACAGATACCCTTAAGATTTGAGAAATTACAGATAATTCCTGAAGGTACTATTTGCATAACAAATTAAGGGATAAATTGTTATGAAAATATAAACCTCATGGGATAATTTGTTATGAAAATATAAACCTCAAGGGGGTATCTGTAATTTTCGAAACCTCAGGGGTATCTCTAATTTAGTTAAACCTCGAGGGAGGTATATGCAATTTGCCCTAATTTTTTATTGAATTTTTAAAATATTTTAAGTAATTTTTTTTTAATTTTTAGACACTTAACATAAATAAAAAGTATATTTTTTGTAAAAAAAAATCTTTTAAAAATTCAATAAATACCAAAAATACAAAAAAAAAATACAAGAATTCAGTATATTTTTTGTATTTTATGTATTTCTTATATTTTAAAAATATTTGTTCACAATTTTTTTATTTTTTAGATACATAGTAAGGTGTATTTAAAAAAAGTAAAAAAAAAATGATTAAAATTTTAAAATTTTTTACTAAAGACAAAAAAACACGGAAAACAAAAAATTCAGTTTTCAAAAAATTTAATTCAAAAAACTCAAACCAAACACACATTAGGTTTTGGTTTTCAGAAAATATTTTTCAATTTTTTTTATTCTTCATATTTTTTTTGTTTTTATTGAATTTTTAAAAATATTTTTAGTAATTTTTAAATACACCTAAAAGGTATAATATTTGTGAAAACATTTTTTTAAAAAAGTCACTAAATACCAAATATATTTTAAAATATTTTTTCACAAATATTTTACTATTTAGATATATTTAAGTAAGATACATCTAAAAAAATAAAGAAAATATTAATTAAAAACAAAAAAACACAAAAAATAAAAAATAAAAAATTCAATTTTTAGAAAACTGAACTCAGAAAATTGATAGCAAACACACTGTATAATTTCCTGGGTTGTGTTGTGTTGTGTTGTGACTGAATTAGCCCCTTAAAAAAATGTTAAAATGTTAATAAGATAAAATGTCATATTTAAATTATAACAATTTTATTTTTTCTCTCACAAAAGTCAAAAAAATCAAAAAAAAAAAAATCGAAGGAAATTTTTGATTCGAAATTAAAAGTCTTAACTCTAAAAAGTCAACTAATTTTTTTTTTTTGCCAAATGACGGCTTTGATAGAAAATATTGTAAACTTTTTTTTATAATTTTTGCATCATTAAATTCATGTAAAAGTTTAATTCATATAATGCTTTTATGTCAATAAGAACCTAAAATAATATATGCTCGTGTCTATTTTATTTTTTTATTTTTTTCCAAATTAAAAATATTTGATAAGAACTTTTAATTAGTGAAAAAAATTTAAATTTTGACACAAGAATATTTTATTTTAAAATCTTATTTCATACTAGACAAACAATTTGAAAAGAAATGAGTAATACTTAATTTTTTTTATCAATAATTTATTAATCGTAAAAACAGAAAATTAATATTATCATATCTTTTATATTAAAATATATATCTTTTCTTATTAATCATTATGATTTCACACTATTTACATTAGTATCAATTGTTTTAACTTTATTAAAAGTAAAATTAATGTAAGTACGTTAAAATTATAAAACTTATGCTTGGAATTTTACAGAATTTTTTTTACATATATATTAAAAGTTGGTACACACCAAATGTGTGTGCAAATGCATATCAATGAAAAACTGAGAAGATAAATAGTTAAAACTTTAAATATGTTTTTCATAGTGATAACTATCATAGATAGTTTCCGAAATAGAAAATACGTGATATCTATGTGTTTGTTTTGGTGGGAATTGAAATAAAAACAGCTGGCAAATGTTCTAGAAGGTTAGTTAAAAAAAAAAAACAAAAAATGTTCTGGAAGGTGAGGAAAAGATAAAAAGAGTAGGGTCAGTTTGGTAACGTTTACGTTTTTAATTTTTATTTATAAAAATTTTATAAATTGATTTTTGTTTATTTTTTGTTTATTTTTAGAAAAACATAAACTACAAATGCGTTTGATAATTGACAAAATGTTTAAAAAATTTAAAAATATAAAAAAGAGTGAGAAATGACAAGTAGTGGCGGAAGACGGTGGTGGAAAGTGGTGACGGTGGGTGGTGGCGGGTGAGTGGTGGTGGTGGTGGGTGACAGTGGCAGGTGGTAGCGAGTGGATAGTGGTGGCGGCGGCGGTGGGTGGTGGTGGCAGTTGGGTGGCGGATGGCGGGTGGTGGCGGGTGGGTGGTGATGGTGGATGAGTGGGTGACGGTGGTGGGTGGTAGCGAGTGAGTGGTGGTGGTGGTGGTGGTAGTGGTGAGTGGTGGGTGGTGGTGGTAGGTGGGTGGCGGGTGATGGTGGTAGTGGTGGGGGGGGGGAGTGGCGGGGAGTAGCGAGTGGGTGGTGGTGGCAGGTGGGTGGCGGTGGCAGGTGGGTGGCGGATATGCGTCCCTTTTATGGGTCATCGGAATGCTTTATGGCCGTCCCAATTATGGGTCATCGGAAACGTCTCTATGCACAACAGTCATTGGAATACCTTTTGGCCGTCCCTTTATGGGCCATCAGAATGCCTTCATGACAGTCCCTTTGTTGGTCATCAGAAACGGCTCTGTGCACATGAGTCATCAGAATGCCCTTTACAGCCATCCCTTTATGGGTCATCAGATTTGTTAACACTAATGGATGGGTGGTGGTGGCGGAAGACGGTGGTGGAAAATGGTGGCGGTTGGTGGCTAGTGTTGGGTGGTAAAAAAAAAAAAACTAAAAACTCAAAACGGAAACACATTTTTTGAGTTTACATTTTTTGGCCAAATTTTGAGGTTTTAAAATTTTTGTAAATATAAACAGAAAACTGAAAACGTAAGTGTTACCAAATGACACCGTAATGTTAGAGATTTTAAATATTTTACTAATATTGTGTTTGGTTGAGAGATTTGAAAAAAGAAAAAAATATGTATGAAATTACGTAAAATATTAATATATTTTATTTACATTTTACTTATCTTTTCTTTTCTTTTTATAATTCTAAATTCCTTAACTAAACACAGCGTAAATGTTTATTAAATATTTCATGACTTATATCAGACTCTCATAGGTCTCGTATCATGTGACATATTTAATAAAGGAAAATGAGTGAGAACACTAATTAGTGCTATCACTAATGATGTGGCAGTGGGCCTCACCAGGAATGATTTGATATTTTGACCTTAGTGTTGTATTTTTTTTCTTTTTTTATTGAGTGTCATGTCATTAGTGATCTTTTTAGAATTTCAAAATTAATGATCTCTATATTGTTGTGTAATAAAATATTTGAAGCTTTTAATATTTTTTAAGGCAAAAAGACAGACGGGTACGGTAGTGACTCAATGGGAAACCATTGGATCATCCGTTGATTGTTTTGTTATTATTTTGGCTTTGCCCCTTTTTTAAGATACATATATATATATATATATATATATATATAAGAAAATGAGTGGGAGCACTAATTAGTGCTACCACTAATGATGTGGCAGTAGGCTCTACCATGAATGATTTGATGTTTTGGCTTTGGTGTTGTATTTTTTTTTCTTTTTTTATTGAGTGCCATGTCATTAGTGGTCTTTATAGAACTCCAAAATTAGTGGTCTCTATCATTGTTGTATTTATAATGTGCCTTTTGCAAGAGTGATCTTTGTATCTATATACTTTAGGGGCATTTTGATAATATTGATAAAAAGTTAACTTTATAGTTTTTTAATTTTTTTAGTCAAAAAGTCTATTTTTTTATTCAAAAGAACCTAATTTTTTGTTTAAAAAATCATTAAAAAATCAAAAAATTAAAAAAAAAATTTTTATCAACTTTTTAAAACACCACTTATTACTGTGGTTGTCTTAGTTGTAAGTAAATGGATAAAATAAAAAAATAAATAAAATAAAATAAAAAAACAAAAAACATGCAACAATATCAATGTAGGGACCACCAAATTAGTGGAACAAAGATGCTCATCGATTTCTCATATAAGGGCCCATCTTCTTGCAGCAATCATACACTGCCCACAGATACACTATGTGCCGTATGTATATCCACGTGTCTCACACCTCACAAAATATTAACTATATTTATAATTTGTAACTATGTTCTCAAATATATATTTATATTTGTAACCTATGTTCTCAAATGTAAGGGGACTTGGACATGGATCTCAATAGAATAAAATAAAAAATAGAATTAGCTGTTCTTTAAATTATATTTTAAATTGAAAGGTATTATTCAGGACGTAAGATTTATCACAAATGTCTTATTTTAATTATTTAAATTATTCATTTTGTCAGATTTGTCTCTAAAAAAATAAATAACAAGTGTATTTTTAAAAATAAATCACTTATTTTTTTTACGACAATCGTGATAAACTAAATAGGTTATTGAATCATATTTTTTTTTGATGATATATATGAATTTTTTTTCAAAGTGAATAGTTTAAATTATCGAAACGTAATATGTGGTGGATTAAACTAGAAGGATGACAATCATCATCATCAACACCAACACCAACACTAACACCAACACCAGATTATCATCATCATCAACATCAAAAATGAGAGAAGAACAGAGAGGAAGAAGGAGAGGTCACCGTCGCAAACCCTCCATCACCGTGAGAAAATAGAATAAAAATTAAATTATATATAAATATATATATATATATATACACACAAATGAGAAATCTATATATACAAATGCCATGAAATACTTTAACCATATGATGCATGTAGTAGTATTATTTTGAATTGAGCATATTAAGTATAATATCACACGTATGATAAGCATAATGATAGTGAAATAATATTTATCAAAATTCAACTATGAAT